CATTCTAACCAGAATAAAGAGGGCAGAAGCATCGCTTCCCAAGTTCCAAATTCAATATCTCAATTGTAATCCCCATGTGTCAAGGGAGGGACCTGGTGGGAAGTGACTGTATCATGGGGGCAGTTTGCCCCATGCTGTTCTCATGATAGTGAGTAAGTTCTTACAATAAAGAGTGAGTTCTCACGAGACCTGATAGCTTTATAAGGGCCTCTTCCCAATTTGCACTCCCTCTCTCTCCTGCTTCCTTATGAAGAAGGTATTTGCTTCTCCTTCACCTTCTGCCAAAGCAGGACCTTATGATTGTAAGTTTCCTGAGGCCTCCCCAGCCATGCAGAACTGTGAGTCAATGAAACCCCTTTCTTGTATAAATGACCCAGTCGGGGTATTTCTTTATAGCAGTGTGAAAATGGACTCACACATATTTGACAGGCATCCAGTAGTCTTTGATAAACACAACCACCATCTAGTGACCAGAACAGCCTTATCAGGCCCCACTGTCTCTGCAATGAAGAGCTGTTCCTTTCCTCATCCCTTACAGAGCCAAGCACCCAGCATCCTGGAACAGTGGCCCCGTGTGCCCAGCTTTGAGAATGAGCTCATGCCTCGCTGCTGGGGGTAGAGAGAGGGAAGAGCTAAATCAATAGCCATATGTATAAATCTCCTTTTGTGCATTTAGAATCACGTCCTTAGGATAAATTCCAATCAGTGGCATTATTGAAACAAATTGTATCAAAAATACAAAAAAAATTGACCCATTTTTCCAAATTGTTTTCTAACAAGGAAGTAATATTGTTTGCCTTTGATATTGTTCTTTAGAAAATGATGCATGACAGTTTTACATTTCACACAGTGAGATCTATTTATTTTATACTTTGCAATTTCTGTAATTTTTAAGACTGTTCCTCCCATATTAGAGGCTCTGCTCTAACCCTTCAATTCTATTTGTCCTAGTTTTCCTAACATTCCCTTTTCCACTGGTGTGTGGTGCAAGATGAGGCACATTTTCCATGGATGGTGAACAGAGGGAGGAGCCTTTTGATCACAACCAGGTCACCCCACTTCTAAGCCACTGTGTCTCCAGACCCACAAGACTAAGGAGAGAGGGCACAGATTAGCAGAGAGTGAGCTGTTCTGGGACCACTGTTTCCATAATCTCATTTTCTGTGTCTAGCTGACACACCTTCAAAGCAACGTCAGGTCCTAAACTGTAGTTGCAACACGCCTGTTTGCCGGAAACCAAGGCGGAGGTGCTTTTAGACAGTGTTTCCATGTGAGAGGCCCTTCCCAGCTTTTCTCTGGATATGCATGTTTTTCTGAACTCTGAGTCCCAAGAAAAATCATTTGAGACATCAAGAAAATGGGGAAAGTGCTAAAATTGTGTGGGAATTCAAGCTTAACAATAAACATCCAGACATTTTTGGTAGAAAGGAATCCACTGACATCAGGGAGCAAGAGAACAGCATGCTGACACTGGGTCAGAGGCCGAGGCTGACATTTCTGGGAATCACTCCCAAAAGGGCACAGATGAAATGCTTTCAGCCTCTCATCAGCCAGTCTAGGCTGTAGCTGCTGCGCATCATGCGTGTGTTCCTGGCATGACTTCTTCTAACAGTGAGTTTTCTGGCAAATCAGATAAATACTAATAAGTCTATATGCACATTTTACTTTATATAAATCCTAGGAATGATGTTTCAGAAATAACACGTTTTGAAGGCAAAATAAGTCCTTAAATTGGCAACTTTGACACAAAATTCCATGTAGTAGTTAATCCTGCTAAGAGATCCCAAGGTTATGTTATTCTAATGCAATCTGAAAAGGTTCACTGGCATTTTCCACTGTTGCCATCTTTACTATAGCCTACAGCTGTTTGTTTTTTTTGAGATAGAGTCTCTCTCTGTTACTCAGGTTGGAGTGCAGCGTGGCGATCTTGGCTCACTGCAATCTCCACCTCCCAGGTTCAAGTAATTCTCCTGCCTTAGCCTCCATAGAAGTTGAGATTATAGGCACGGGTTACCACGCCTGGCTAATTTTTGTATTTTTGATAGAGACATGGTTTCATCATGTTGGCCAGGTTGGTCTTAAATTCCTGACCTCAGGTGATCTGCCTGCCTTGGCCTTCCAAAGTGCTGGGATAACAGGCATGAGCCACTGTGCCCAGCTGCCTATAGTTCTTTGTAAAGCAGACAAAAGAATTTCTTTTTTTTTTTTGAGACGGAGTTTTGCTCTTGTTACCCAGGCTGGAGTGCAATGGCACGATCTCGGCTCACTGCAACCTCCGCCTCCTGGGTTCAGGCAATTCTCGTGCCTCAACCTCCCGAGTAGCCGGGATTACAGGCATGTGCCACCACGCCGCCCAGCTAATTTTTTGTATTTTTAGTAGAGACGGGGTTTCACCATGTTGACCAGGATAGTCTTGATCTCTTGACCTCGTGATCCACCAGCCTCGGCCTCCCAAAGTGCTGGGATTACAGGCTTGAGCCACCGCACCCAGCCCAAGAATTTCACTTTTTTAAAGAAATGAACATATATGAGGCAACCTGTACCTAATTTAGGATTTTAGAAATTCCCCTGACTGCCTATACATTTTGATGTCATTCCTAATTCCCAAAGATTAAAATCTTTAAGGGATTTGGAAACACTGAATCAAAGGCCAAAATAGGACCATGTTTCACTTCATTCATTCATTCATTCACTCAACAATTATTTATTGAGTACCTGCTATTTTTCAGGCACTGTACCACATTTTGAGAATAGAGTGGTGAATGAGACAATGTCATCACCTTTAGGGAGTTTATATTTTGGAGGAGAGAGACAAATAAAAATGTTTAGGCTGGGCATGGTGGCTCACACCTATAATCCCATCATTTTAAGAGGTCAAGGCAGGTGGATCCCCTGAGCCCAGGAGTTCAAGACCAGGCTAGGCAACATGATGAAACTCCATCCATACCAAAAATATAAAAAATTAGCCAGTCATGGTGGCATACACTTGTGGTCTCAGCTACTTGGGAGGCTGAGATGGAAGGATCTCTTGAGCCTGGGAGGCAGAGGTTGCAGTGAGCCAAGGTTGTGCCACTGGACTTCAAGCTGAGTGACAGAGTGAGACCCTATCTCAGAAAAGGAAAAAAACTGTTTAATACAATGTACTGTCAAGTGGTGATGAGCCCCGTGGAAACATGAAGCATTTTGAGCTTCATGTAAGCAATGTTTGAGTAGAGCAAGTGAAGTGGTGCTGTTTTGTACATGATTATCCTGAGGGCCCTTCAGAAGAGCAGAGAGCTGAATGCAGTGAGCACAGAACCTCACTGAGGCCCGGGCAAGGCTCGTCCAGACAGCGAAATGCCCTGAGGCAGGACTGTGCATGGTGTGTCCTGGAAATGGGAGAGGAGCCAGTGCTTCTGTAATGTTGTGAAGGAGAGGGAAAGTTGTAGGAAAGGAGGCTGGAGAGAGAGGCAGGGGCCAGAACATGTAGGGCTGCGTAAGTCACGTTGAGTTCTTTGGATTTTCCCGTAAATGTGGATGGGAAGCAGTTGGAAGGTATTGAGCAGGGGTGGTGTGATCTAATCTATATTTTGGAACCATCCCCCTGGCTGAGGTGTGGAGGACAAAAGCAGGGGGCAGAAGTAGAGGTGGGGGTGGGGTAGGGGGTGGCAGGAGGCTATAGGAGTAGCCCAGACCAGACAGGAGGGTGGCTTGGCCCTCGGAGATCTTGGTGGGGCAGATTAAAGAGTGATCAAGTTAGAACCAACAGGACTTTTTTTTTTTTAGATAGGGACTCCCTTGTTGCCCAGGCTGGAGTGCAGTGGTGCAATCATGGCTCACTGCAACCATGATCAAGGGATCCTCCTACCTCTCAGCTTCCGAAGCAGCTGGGATTACAGGTGTGCACCACCACACCCAGCTAATTTTTGTATTTATAGAATTGTGGGTCTCATCACATTACCCAGGCTTCTCTTGAACTCCTGGGCTCAAGCGATCTGCTTGTCCTGGCCTCCCAAAGTGTTGGGATTACAGGCATGAGCCACTGTGCCAAGCAAGAGCCAATAGGACCTACTGAGAAACTATGTGAGAGAGAGGAGTCAAGTATGACTCCCCTGTTCAACCAACCAATGAGGTGAATGATGCTGCTGCTTCCTGAGACTGGAGAGAAAGAGGGAATGACAAATCAGTAATTTCGCTTTGAACACATTAGGTTTGAGATGTCTAGTCTATACCCAAACTGACCACACTATGGCATCTGGATTGCAGGATCTGCAGAATCCAAAAGGATGGATGCTAACGCCAAGCTGAGTAGACAGTTGTCTGTGAGTCTAAAGCTCAGGGAAGACCTCAGGGTCTGGGATACAAATCTGGAAATTATAAGCCTATCCATGAAAGCTAGGGGAATGATGGAAAATACTCTGAGAAAAAGTGAAGACAGGAAAGAAAAGAGGTCCAAGGAAGGAGACCTGGGACTACCCAACCTCGATTAGATCAGGAAGAAGAGAAGAATCCAGCAAAAAATGCTGACCTCTGGGAAGGAAGTCTTCTCTCCTTCCCCTGCACCAGGAGAGGTGCTATTCCAGATATCAGTAAAGTGTTTGAGGGGGAGAGAGGGATCACCCTTGTCAACTGCTGCTAAGGACTGGGAAGAAAGCAATAGAAACTTTGAAATCCATTGATTATCTTGACAAGAGTAGCTTCTGTGGGGGTGGTAAGAACTGGAGCGTGATTGGATGGGTTCAAGAGAGAATGGGGAGTTTGAGCAAGAAGGCTGATTAGGATTAGTCAAATGAAAAATGTTTCCTTTTTATGAACCCTCTCATATCTACTGACACAACCAATATATTGGATCTCCATTCTGCCACATTACTTTATATTAATCATATATCTGCTGTGTTTCTTTCTCCATGCAGTGTATTTTTTTTACTTTAAAAACTGTATTTATAAAGGTTTATAATTTTATTCCAGCAGTTATTTGATATGTATACTTGCTCTTATTTTTATTTATTTTTATTTTTTAGACAGGGTCTTGCTATTCGTCCAGGCTGGAGCATCGCCTTACCAAAGGCTTGGATTCCTGGGCTCAAGAAATCCTACCACCTCAGACTCTAGAGTAGCTGGGACTACAGGTATGCACCACCACACCCAGCTAATTTTTTGTATTTTTTTTTATAGAAACAGGGTCTCCCCGTGTTGTTCGAGCTGGTCTCATTCAGGCGATCCAGGGCACAAGTGATCCTCTCACCTCACCCTCCTAGGCTCTTGCCCTATTTTCTTGTTTAAGCTTGTAAATACTGTAGTATCCTTTATCTCCCACCCATTGCCCATACAGCAATCTAGGAGCATATTCTGTTCTCTTTCTCTTTCCCTTGTCCCATTTTGAGTTGCACAAAGCTCGTTCTCTAGTACAGTGATGAGAAAACATTTTATTTTTTGCAAGGGGCCAGATAGTAAATATGTTCGGTTCTGCAGGCAGGCAATCTCTGCCACAGCTCTATCATTGTAGAGTATAAGCAGCCATAGACAATATGTAAACAAATGGGTATGGCTGTCTTCCAATGAAACTTTATTTGCAAAAACAGGCGGTGGGTTAGATTTGGCCTCTAGGCTAAAACCCTATCTTAGAGTAGCAGCAGATAACAAGGCAGAAGAAAATCATGCAGGGGGTGAGAGAAAACTGGCATGAGAGCTAGGGGAATATTGACAAAAGAGGAGCCCTTTAAATCTTCCAGGGATTTAAAGAAAAAAGGAAATTCTTTACTGTTACTCAATAATTTACCTGCTCGGTAGGAGGAAAGATGTCTCTTCCATTTCAGGGTTGGCTCAGCATCTGTCCTGCTGGGTCCTGTGGATCCTGCTGGCCGATGCCACAGTGTGGTCAGCTGAAAGTGATTTGCTCATCCTGAAACAGCAGGTAGAGAAAGCGCTCTTTCAGTGCCATGGCAACCAGATCCTGGTTTTCTAGAAAAGGATCAGATCAGTGAGTGTGTTCCTCCAGGCATTGATCCATTAATGTGCACTGAGTTTATTTCAGAGCCAGGCCCTGGGCTTGGGATACAAAGATGCATAAGGCCAAGTCCTTGTTCTTAAGGAGCTCACAGACTGGAGGAAGAGGAGGTAGACGTCCACAGTAAATAGTGTAATCACATGTGAGCAAAGGAAGGGCCACACAAAGGGCTGGGGAGCATCTCTTCCTCTTAGGGAGTGAGAAACTGACCTGGAGACCTGAGGTTGAGCTGAATTTTGGAGCATCAGTTAGAATTGGTCAAGAGGACAAACTGGGATGGGTCAGGGAAAATGGAGAAGCTTGAGAGCTGTGGTAGCTCCGTGGAATGGCAAGAATAGCCAGAGGATGGCATCTCCAGGGTGCTGGGGACAGCTGTGGAGAGACACCAAGGCCACATAATTGTCAGGCCTCTGCTGCCTCTGCTCTCACCGAGGTCAACCACAACCTAGTGTCTAAGCCAGTGGCATTTTCCAGCCTACTTTTACTCATCCCTTCTTTTAAAAAAATCCTCTCTTGACAGCCTGATTTTGTTTGTTTGTTTGTTTGTTTTGTTGTTTTTGAGACAGAGTCTCGCTCTGTCACCAGGCTGGAGTGCAGTGGCACGGTCTCAGCTCACTGCAACCTCTGCCTCCCATGTTCAAGCGATTCTCTTGCCTCAGCCTCCCAGATTGCTGGAATTACAGGAGCCCGTCACCATGCCCAGCTAATTTTTGTGTTTTTAGTAGAGATGGGGTTTCATCATGTTGGCCAGATGGTCTCAATCTCTTGACCTGGTGATTCGCCCGCCTCGGCCTCCCAGAGTATTGGGATTACAGGCATGAGCCACCATGCCTGGCCTAATTTTCATGGTATCATGGTTCACCATCTCCTGATGTGTCCTCTGCATGTCTAGCTGCTCGTTCTCAATCTCTTATTTGTGCCCTCACTTCCTTAAATTCTAACCTTCTTCTCATGCTGCACTTTCTCCAGGTATATGAGAAACCTCTCTATTTTTCACTTCTGTCTCTATTGCTCTTTGCTGGTTGGCCTCAATTTCTCCTACCACAAGATGAGCCCCTGTGCATGTTTGGGAATGTGGCCTCAAGAACCCCAGTGTGGCAATCCCAGTGGAAAGCCTTTTCCCAGTACTCATCTTTCTGTTCTGGGGAAGGAGCAGGATTGTCATTGGTTGGTTGTGTACCTACTCTTGAACCTATCACTATTATCAGAGTGATTGGTCAATACAATTTATGGTGAGGGAAATGAAGCTCCATGATTGGCCCCATCAGTCAAAGAGACAGAAAGGCAGTTCCCTAAGACGGATGTATCACCCAGGAAGCAGGAACTATACAATGTCAACAGGGAAAGTATAATATACATAATCATGAAGTGATAACAGGGGTTAACCACAAAGGGATAAAGAGGACTCTAAAGGTTACAGAAACAGGTGAATGGATAAACAAAATGCAATGTAATCCTGCCATAAAATGGAATTAAATTCTGATATATGCTACCACATGGATAAACCTTGAAGACATTATGAGAAATGAAATAAGCCAGACACAAAAGGGCAAATATTATATGGTGCCACTTACACAGTGTACTTCGAATAGTGGATTCAGAGACAGAAAGTAGAATGGAGGTTTCCAGGAGGTAGAGGGAGGGGAGAATGGGAAGCTATTGTTTAATGGGTGATTGGGTTTGACTCTGGGTCTCCACCCAAATCTCATCTCAGATTGTAATCCCATGTGGAGGGAAGAACCTGGGGGGCGGTGATTGGATCATGAAGGTGATTCTCGTGATAGTGAGTGAGTTCTCATGAGATCTGATGGTTTTAAAGTGTGTGGCCTCTCTCTCTCTCTCTCTCTCTCTTTTTTTCTGTCTCTCCTGCCACCTGCTGATGAGAAGATGTGCCTTGCTTCCCCTTTGCCTTCCACCATGAGCCTAAGTTTCCGGAGGCCTCCCCAAGCATGCAGACCTGTAAATCAATCAAACCTCTTTTCTTAAAAATTACCCAGCCTCAGGTAATATCTTTATAGCAGCATGAGAACAGACAATTACAATAGGTATACAGTTTCACCTTGGAGTGATAGAAACATTTTGGAAAAATAGTGATGGCTGCAAAACATTGACTGTATCTAATGTCAGTGAATTGTACACTTAAAAATGGTTAAATGATAAATGTTATGTATATTTTACCACAATAAAAAAAATACAGGCCAGCATGGCTAACATAGTGAAACCCTGTCTCTACTAAAAATACAAAAATGAGCTGGGTGTGGTGGCACATACCTGTGATCCCAGCTACTCAGGAGGCTGAGGCAAGAGAATTGCTTGAACCTGGGAGGCGAAGGTTGCAGTAAGCCAAGATCATGTCACTGCACTCCAGCTTGAGAGATAGAGTGAGACTCTGTCTCAAAAAGAAAAGGAAAAAAAATACAGGAATCATGGATATAGGTGGCAGGCACTAGCTCTAGGGCTGAAGCAGAGAACCCAAGGAAGGAACCAACTTGGAAAAGGGTCTCCCCAGGGATAAAACTCAGATGCCGTTGGAGATGGTGTGGCTATAGCCCGCAGGATGGCAGAGAAGTTTGTTGTGGTGCTGCAGGCTGGGCTGGCATGCAAGAAACCCATGCACCAGTGAGGGCTGGGGGGCACTGACAACACTCTCTGAGAAGCTGCCCCTCTGAGGAGCTGGCGCGTACTAGGACTTCACCCATGGTATGTTACTGAAACTCTCAGGGAAGCCAACTGCTGGAGTATTTATGAGACACACTGTGCCACCATCTGGGGCTTCAGCAGCGTTTGGTGAACCCTACCTGTAGGGTTGTGGCTAAATTTGCTGGGAGCTGGCTGAGGTGCTAGCAGAACTCCTTAGGAAACTCACCAGGGATGAGCATCCCTGGGTGCCCCATGCACCAGTCAAGGGCAAGAGGAGAGGAAGGGGAGGCTCTTTTTCCTGCTGTGTCCCTCCAGAGCCCTCCATTGACAGCACTAAGTATCATGCTAGCTGGCAAAGAAATGTCTACAGGATTCAGCTCCAGTATCACAAAGGAGGGTAACGAAGAGTGGATGTGGAATTCAGAGGCCCTAAAGTGATGACTGTCACAGCCCACTCCTTTGGTTACTCAGTTTCCATATGCACCCCCTACACACATCTGAACTTCTATATGACAACAAACAAAATACAGCTATCCTTCTTACCAGGGAAGACATTCCTCCCTTTCCCCAAAATGAGAAGATACTCAGTGCCAACAACAGTTGTATCCATCTCTGGCTAAATTCATTACTCAAATTTGATCACAGTACCCACTAAATATTCTCTTACCAAAAGACCAAATTGTAAAGTTAACCTCCAACAACTTGTATGTGAACCAATAAAGGGAAGAAGGAGAAAGAGATAGCTTGATGGCGTTTTCCCATCACCCATCTATCCATGGGAAAGAACTCTGGGGAAGCGCTCTTGAGGAAATATCTTTGGGGAGAATCCCTGATTGGCTCTACTTGGGTCATGTGTGTTGGAATCTGTGAAAGTCTGGAATTTTGCCCATCTTACAAGCTAATAAACCTGTTACGGTTTCATGGATGCTGGCAGATGACATGAGACTGTGTTAGAGACAAAGGCCTTCACTACTCATGGCAGAACAAGCTGCATGAAGTTTGTGTTTGTTGGCATTGGTTCTCCATGTCCCCAAGTCCCACAGGGGTGATGTGGAGGGGCTTAGGTGGTTACTGTACGTAACCTTAGGTGGGGTGTTTGTGCTGAAGCTAAGGAACACTGAGCTTGGGAATATACAATTTAATAGTAAGTGGTGAGCAAGCCTGCCCTTTGTCTGGGTCGGGGGATACTGCTTTGTCAAGGCTTTGTACTTCAAACACAATCCTGAGAAATGTCGTCAGGGCCTTGCATTCTTGTCATCCCCAGCGAGAGCATGCAGTGACAATCAAAGCCCGTGGCAAACTGCCTGTCACAAAAATCCACCATGAGTCCTGATAGATCCTTGGCCAAATTCAAATTTTCCCCTGAGTATGCTACCTCATCAGCTGCTCTGATTAGTCTGACCAACAGAGGAACCAAATCCATTCAGTTTGACTTCTATCACATTTAAAATTAAGGCTGCTATCACACACCCAGGACTTCAA